TATCATGCTCTTTTGTGAGTATATTCAAAATTTCCTATTTCAACATACATCATAGAAAATATTTAGCTTGAAGATTAAAAAGTATCAAAAAATCTCATAAAATTTTGCACTTAATTGACCTTTGACCTCCATTTTTACTAATAAGGTCAGTTGTTTAGTATCTGAATAGTCATAAAATATCATCTCTAAGACATTCCCTACAAAATGGTATGCAATATACCTAGCTTTCTCCTTGAATAAAAAAGTTGGAAATAATTTAATAATGTCATATCAAAAAGTCTCCAAAATCACCTAAAATGTGCCGGTAGAGAAAGGGTTAAGATGAGAAAGAAAAAAATGGTTACATTTTCGCACTACTTGGTTACATGTAACATAAACAATCACAAAGCATTACCGTTCTAAAAATCATACATTGCATGCATTTATATATAAATCAGTCCATTATTACTGCTGGTAGCGTTTTGGCACAACATTACAAGTGGAACGGGTTGGATAGCGTTTTTCGGATACGAAGGTTGCTGCCGGTGAACATGTCGGTATAGGCGTCAGTTCGGGTGCTTGTTTCTTGGTCGGAGTCGCGATTAACCTGTCCCGGTCACTGTCATGTTCATCTGATGTTTCGGCCGACAATGTATCATCATTCGATTGAATTAACTGTTGATCCATATTCAGGGTTGGCGGTATTTGTGCAGAGTTGGTGAAATCTGCTGATCTTACCTGGTCTGTATGCCGCCGCCATGTTGTTCCTGACATAATTTCCACTTTGTACGAAAGAGGTCCTGTTTTCAAATCAATTGTCCCTGCGATTCATTTCTCACTACTGCTGCGATAGTCGCGAACAGCAACTTTGTCACCGGTATTGAACTGTCGAACAAGTTCGGATATGCGGTAATGCATGCTTTCTTGTTTAGCTTCCACTGTGTTGCGAACATTCGGCTTCAGTCGGGTGAGTCTGGTACATAGTTCACGTCCTAAGAAAAGTTTAGCCGGTGTTTCCCATGTTGTCGAATGCGGCTAACTTCTTGACGTAAGTAGGAAGTTGGCAAGACGCTTAGTAATAGAAGTTTCTTCCACTTTCGATGCACGCATTGACTGTTTCAGTGTCTGGACTAGTCTCTCTGCTATCCCATTTGTTCTAGGATGATACGGAGCTGACGTAATATGACGAATTCCGTTGTACTTCATGAAATCTTGAAAGGTTTCGGAGACGAACTGCGGTCCGTTGTCTGAGACTAGTTGATCTGGTAGGCCATTCCTTGAAAACATCCTACGCAGTACGTCCACTGTGCGGTCTGCCGTTGTTGTTAACAACTTCAGGCCATTTTGAGAATGCATCAACTACGACTAAGAAAATGCTTCCTTGGAACGGGTCGGCGAAGTCTACATGTATTCTTTGCCATGCACGTTGGGGCCATTCCTACGAATGAACAGGTGCCTCTGGTAGGCCATTCCTTGAAAACATCCTACGCAGTACATCCACTGTGCGGTCTGCCGTTGTTGTTGACATCTGGACAACTTCGGGCCATTTTGAGAATGCATCAACTACGACTAAGAACATAACGGGCCGGGAATTCTACATTTATCCTTTGCCATGCACGTTGGGGCCATTCCCACGGATGAACAGGTGCCTCTGGTGGCATAGGTCGGTTCTCCTGACAACCTCTGCAACTTTTCACCAGTGTCTCTAAGTCTTTGTCAATACCTGGCCACTATACTAAACTTCGTGCCACGGTTTTTATCTTGACGATCCATGGGTGCCCTTCGTGAAGCTCCTCTAAGACACGCGAACGAAGGTCCTGGGGAATGATAACACGAATTCCCCGTAGTAACCATCCCTGATAAATCGAGATTTCATTTCTGCGAGAAAAGTGTGCCTTCAGGTCTTCACTATACTGGCCATCCTGAAGCTGTCATGTCATATACCACTTTCAGAGCGATGTCTTTTACTGTTCCTCTCTGCACTTCCTTACTATTAACAGGTAGGCTTTCAAGTTGCTGAATCATATACAGTTCAGTAACATCATAAGCGTCTTAATTGGATCCTTCGCTTTCTGGCGGCACAGGAAGTCCTGATAAGGCATCAGCGTTGCTATGTTTCTTTGTGTTTTTGTATCGAATATCGTATTGAAATCTTGATAGAAAAAGCGCATGACTTTGTAGTCTAGCTGCTGTAGTGACAGGTAGTCCTTTCTCGGGATGAAAAATTAGATACTAGAGGTTGATGATCAGTCACTAAGGTGAACTTTCTCCCATACAAGTATGCATAAAATTTCTTCACTCCCAAAACTAATCCTAGCGCTTCCTTATCAATTTGTGCGTACCTCCTCGCCGTTTGACTAAGTGATCTAGATGCGAAAGCGATCGGCTTTTCAGAACCATCCGGCATCACAAGAGAGAGCACGGCTCCCAGTCCGTAGGGAGAAGCATCTGTTGCCAGTGTTACGGGCTTCTAGGGATCATAGTGCACAAGTGCTTGGTCTGACGTCACGAGTTCCTTGATTTTCTCAAATGCTGCTTTGCATGACTTTGACCATACAAAATTGCAGTTGTTCTTCAGAAGGTCATATAAGGGTGCTGAGTGAGTAGATAAGTTCTCCTTGAATCGTCCATAGTAGTTTACGAGTCCTAAGAAAGCTCTGAGTTCAGACACGTTCTTTGGTTCAGGAGCATTTAGCACTGCTTCAATTTTCTTTGATGTTTTGTGGAATCCTTCTGCATCTATCACATGGCCACAAAATTCAATTTTGTCTTTTAGGAACTCACTCTTGTATTCATTTGCTTTTAATCCGTAACGGTCAAGTCGCTTCAAGACCTGCTCTAAGTTCTTAAGGTGTTCTTCAGGTGTTCTCCCAGTAATGATCATATCATCCATGTTGCAGTGTACTCCCTCGAGTCCTTGAAGAACTGTATCCATGGCCCTCTGCCATATCGCGGGCACGGAGGCTATTCCGAACATGAGCCTGTTGTACTGGAATTAACTACGGTTTATAATTATGATAAGCAATGGTGCCTCTTTCAAAATTGTGAATTGTGAATTTCATGGCCTCTGGTTTAAAACACGAACTAATTTTATTTGTTTGAAAGTTGTTGCACGATACTCAGGTGACCTATAAGGCCCGTGGGCCTCTTGTTGTATTTCTCAATCACTTCACTCAAACTTTGTTTTCTAGTCTATAGTGTCTTGATTCCTGCCCAGTTCAGTCTGAGGTTCTTAAGCCACTCTCGACCAAATAAGGGTGGTCCCCCTTTGTCAATCACATACAAGTTTAACTGCTGTTGCTGATCATCCATCTCTACATTGACTGAACACACGCCTAGTGGGGTGATGTTTTCTCCAGAGTATGTTCTTAGGTTTATGTCTGTGTCGATCAACCTTACATTTGAAAAATTTTGCTTGTAAGTTTAACTGTTGATAACTGAAATTGCTGACCCTGTGTCCAGTTCCATGGGAAATTCTTGACCAATCATATAAGGCTTCATCCAGATTGCATCCTTGAGTCCTCCCACAGCGTTGACTCTAAGTGAAAACATAGGTTCGAAATCATCAGCTACTTGCACACATGAACACGTTTTCTACTGTTCGTATGCAGTGGTTTCAGAGTGGCTGGTTTTGAACGACATGCTCGCTGTATGTGTCCCTTTTCCCCACACTGTCGACATGTTTCATGGATAAATCTGCAGTCATCCGAGGTATGGTTTCCATTACATTTGTAGCACCGCTGGGCTGCCGTAGTTTGCTTTTCTTGAATTCTTTTCTTACACTTAGGTACGCTTAGCTTGTGGACACCAGAAGTAGTGGAAAGGTGTTTCCTTTGAATTTCCAGGGCGTCATTAGTCGCCGTCTCCATGGCGATGGCTATCTCGAGCGCAGATTGATAAGTGAGGTTTTTCTTCGAGAGAAGTTTCTTTTGAATGTGTTCGTTTTTTGATCCACACACAAATCTGTCCCGTAATGTGTCATTAAAGACTTCTTTAAATTCACAAAACTCACTAAGTTTACGTAGAGCTTCAATTTACTCACGCACACTCTCCCCTTCCTGCTGGTCTCGCTTGTGAAATCTAAACCTTTCCACTATTCCAATAAGAGAAATATGTAACAATTTTGAACTATTTGAAAGAAGAATTAAAAACAATTAGAGAAGTAGGAAAAAATGGACAGATTTTCAAGTCTGATTGTGATTCTGTGACGGCCACTCTCTATGCTGGGACAAGCGTCTTACATATTTAAGGTTCGTCAGCAAATACCTGGCTCGACAAATTCATTCAAGACATCAAGAGTAAGGACACTAACAATACTAGTAATGTTCTTGAACAATCAACACCAACAAATGGCATCCGAAATCATCTCCAGCATCAAACATCGTTCTCCGGGTACCAAAGAGTATTTCTCCGAAGTGTTACCAAGACGGGATGTGGAAGTATCCCATGTGAATACCAAACTTAAATATGTTTGTAATGAGTATGGAACTTTCTTTATTTCCGACAAAGGTGAATTCAAGGAGGCAAAGGGCATTCATTATTGGAAAGACGGGATTGATCTTTCAGACAAGGGGACGTCAATGCTACTCAGACGGATTAATAGGGAAGTTTCAATTCTACGAGTAAATTCCGGTCGAACCATAGCGGACTCCAATGCAAGTTTTTACCAGTCTGTGACTTGCTACTTCTGCAGTGAATACGGACACACATCACGCCAATGTAGACACGGACGAAAGCTTGATTACTGGAACTGTGGTGAATAAGGACACAAGACGAAATCCTGAGATTCGGTAAAACTTCCCTTAGAGCCGCCTCACAGCTGGAATTCAATTCTATCTGCCAGCAAGCGGACGAAGCTATAGAGCAATGGGGGGATCGAGTAATGGACACTGCCCAGAAAGCGTTTGGTAGGAACTTCGCCGGAAGTTTTCCAAGAGCAAATAGTCGTCCGTTTTGCTCTGGGGTGTAATGACGGCGAGGCGGGGCAGCAGTTAATTAATAATCCCCCGGGGACTCTAGAAGAAGCGATTAAGCGAGTCAAAACTTATCAACTTAGTCGCATAGCTTTAGCCCGCCGGCCGAGAGCGGTAAGATCCCTATCTAGAGACCGTCAAAATGACCGAAGTCATTCGCCCAATCCGGGCCATTATCGTGCCAGATCAGACTCTGAGTCTCAAGATTTTTGCGTCGCACGCAAGGGGCGCCCAGAGTCAAGGGACCGATTTTGCGTCGCACATAGAGACGGACCTGATCCGAGGGACCTTTGTGTCGCATGGAGTACCCCTTTGAGACCGTCGATAAGTTATGATAAAAGCACCTCTATGAAGGATCGACGTGCCAGCAGGGACCGTTCCGAGTCGCCGGATCGGGGCTCGTATAGAACATACTACTCCAGCGACTGGAGGACAGCACCCGAGGATCAAGTCCCGAGCGAGGGTCCTCGAGGGATCCGTCATCAAATAGGGGACGTTCTCGTGCGCCGAGGCCTATTATATGTTTTTAATGCCAAGAGCCAGGGCACTTGCGTCGCGACTGCCCAATCCGCCAGCGTAGGTGTAGATCGGGGACCCCTAAGCCTTGTCTTAAGTCGACGAGTAACAAAATTAGAGACAAACATAGTGCGTCAGACCATGAGACTAAAGTCAAGTTCTATGAACCGAATGTAAACGCGACCCATGTAATTCCGTCTGTTAGGTCCGGTAGTCAAACCATCGGTTCAGGAGCGTGGCGTATTCCGATAAGAGTGGGAGGCCAACAAGTGAGAGCAACAATCGACACAGCAGCCGACATAACGATAATATCGAGCGAAATTTACAAGTCTTTGAGGCCGCAGCCCGAAATTGTAGGCGACACTAATGTTAAGCTAGCTGGCGAGGGAGCTGGTATGACCGCTCAGTACCTCAGTAGTCTTAACTTACGCATCGGGGATTATGATTTTGCTCACCCGATCTATGTTTGTCCTCTGCAAGATGATATGCTCTTGGGAATCGATTTCCTGCGCAAGCATGGTGCAGAAATTTCATGTGAAGCCGGTACTTTAAGGGTAAAGGGCATTGACACTACATTTGCTCTGAGTGTTGATGAGTCAGTACCAGTACTCGATGCGGTTTCAGTCCGGCGAGTGCGAATTCCCCCGCACACTGCCCAAGTTATCGAGGGTACCCTTAGTTCCGATATGCCAGAGTTAATGCTGGAACCAGGTAGCATATTTCCGCCTGGTATAGTAGCTTCGCGGACATACAACGCTGCAGGGAATAGAGCCAAGCTGTGCATCTTGAACTTGACAGACCGAAGTCATATTGTCAAGACTGGCACTAAGATGGGGAAAGCCGTTCCTGCCGATCTAGTCAACGATACTAAACCCACAGTGCGTCGTGTAACCTTTGAGTGGGATAAGAATTATGACCATATCGCCCCACTCTTAGATCAGTTAAACAAGACCGCGCCTGTGGAAGTCAGATCTCAGGCAGCGGAGCTAATCAAAAAATTTGCCGACGCCTTTGCTGTTAATGACCTTGATCTCGGAAGTTTACCGAATAGACACCGGTAACGCGTCTCCCGTCAAACAGCGGATGCGACGCACCCCCGCTGTATTTCATGGGGAGGAAGAGGGTCATCTCGATAAGATGTTGAAAGCCGGAGTCATCCAGCCGTCTTCCTCAGACTGGGCGTCTGCCCCAGTTCTGGTCCGGAAGGAGGATGGCAGTGTCCGTTGGTGCGTGGACTATAGAGCCCTAAATAAGGTGACAGTCAAGGACACGTACCCTCTGCCACTCATCGAGGAGTGCATGGACACGCTAGCGGGAAACCGCTGGTTCTCCAAGCTTGACGCTAACGCGGCTTATTGGCAAGTTAAAATAGCTCCGGAAGACCGGAAAAAGACTGCCTTTATAACAAAGTACGGCTTATTCGAATTTACTAAAATGGGGTTTGGTCTGTGTAATGCCCCCGCGACCTTCGCTAGGGCCATAAATTTGGTGTTGCACAGACTTAACTTGAAGATCGCCTTAGCTTTCTTAGACGATATCCTAGTCCTAGGATCTTCGGCGCAAGCTCAACTTGATAACATACGACAAGTGTTTGAGCGGTTCCGAGCGTATGGTCTCAAGTTCAAGCCTCGGAAATGCGAGCTGTTTAAGACTAGGGTCGAGTTCCTTGGTAGAACCGTGAGCGAGCACAGAGTTGAGATGGGGGATCAGTACATTGAGTCAATGCGTGACTGGCCTGTTCCGCGTGATATTGAGGGCGTAGAGCGTTTTCTCGGGTTCGCCAACTATCACCGTAGTTTTATCCCTCACTTCTCCAGAATTGCGGCTCCGCTGTATGCGGTTACCGGAAAAAGCGGTTTCCGGTGGGGCGACGAGCAGCATAATGCTTTCGAGGAACTAATTCAGTTAATGACAAAACCTCCAGTTCTAGCGATACCGCACAGTACAGGTCATTTCATCCTAGATGATCATGCCGTACGCGGGGAATTAAGCCAAGTCCAGGGTGGGAAAGAAAGAACAATAGGGAAGTGCTGTGCTATCCGCAGAACAGCGTAGTATTGTAGTACTCGAAAAGAGCTATTGCCGGTTATTAAGTTTACAAGACAATTCCGTCACTACCTGCTGGGTCGCGAGTTCACGGTCAGGACCGATCACCATAGCCTGGTCTGGCTAATGAACTTCAAGCATCCGCAGAACCAGATCGCCCGATGGCTCGAAGAACTGAGCCAGTACAATATGCGGATCGTACACCGCCCGGGGAAGAAACATGTCAATGCTGACGCGCTGTCCCGGGACATACCCGACTCATGCCAGGGGTACTCGACAAGAATTACGGTCCAAGACTTGCCGTGCGGCGGATGCCGGTATTGCCGCCGAGCCCACGAGCGCTGACACGACTTTAATA